GGTATATATTATATACACCCCCGTTGGTTTAATACCTCTATATGTGCCTTCAACTAACTAACTAACTGATTAACCAACCAACACCCTTATAGTCGTGCATAAAGACAGACGACGGGCGTGCCTGTATAAATATACGGTATGAGTATATAATATATACCTATATATGTATACTCCTGTCAATCAGCTCTTTTATTAAAAGCCCCGTCGATAGATTTTCGCGCTTCAGTTGGCCCTTCGCTTTTTCTCTCTGCAACAGCAGCAGCATAGCTATTATATACACGGCATACATAATATATATACCTAACTCTAAGAGAGCGAGCGTCCTCCCTCTTATATATATACACGGCTCATCCCATATCTCTCGCTTCCTCCTCCTCCTCCTCCTCCTCGTCGTGGACATCCCAACAACCCCTTCTCGCCTGTATTTTCCATATACCTATGTATTATGTATACCTTTCTCTCCCTCTCTCTCTCTCTCAATATCTCGCCTTCTCTCAACATGCAGTGTACTTGCTTGCTTGCTTACTTGCCACACGCTCCTCTCCATCCTCTTTACTTACCGCTATATATGCAAGGGGGTCGAGTGCCCTCCCCCTCCCCTCCTTCCCGCGGACTCTCTATCACATGTAATACAAGCATAGGAAGGTAATACCTACGATGTATTACTCATGTAATATATGTTATATTACATAATTATTATACCTACAACTTACACACATTGTAGTATAGCTTCTCCCCGTTCGCGCTAAATTAAGATTTGGAGACATACCTATACACTTATTTTACACCCGCCCTCGACGACAGTTTAGCCCCCTCCTTTTCCATGGTACCAGCTCGTCTTTTCCTATGAGATTTTCATTTATTTTTTGCTTGCTCGAGAGCGCACACATACATTATGAGATACATCCCCATCTCTATAGGTATTTGTTATTCTAATCACTGCAGCAGGTGATCGATGCGTGCCGTTTGTAAATTTTGGAGTTAACTCCAATCGCGGACCCACCCTCCCCTGTCCCATCATCCCTCTGTAAGATAATAATACGTTAATATAATGGTGGGATGACCTTTTGGGTCTTTAGTTGAAATAATAATAATAATAATAATAATAATAATAATAATAATAATAATAATAATACTGTACGTAGGAGGTGAATGTGCTTGCAAGCTTCGAGTGATCTAGCTGGCTTTGGGCTATTTTTTTTAATATCGTATTATCGCTACGCGTTGTATTATACGATCGATACCACCCTGCCAACCTTCCCTCCTCGCACTCTTTCTCTCATCATCTATTTCAGTCCTCCCTCTCTTTCTCTCTCTCGTTGTGCGCCCCTATACACACATACATATATATCCTTTCCCACTTCTTTTCGTGGTCTCCTCCTCCTGTGTTATTTTTCCTGCGTCTGACGCTTTTCGAGGGAAAAACCAAACAGTTTGACAGCCAATAATTTACTTATCTGTATTTACATAAGTTATGCATCCCTCGATTGTCCCCCACCCCCTTTTTTTCCCTGTTTCGAGAATTATGCATATTTATTGTACGAATAATGGCTCATTTAGTCGTGTCGAATTTATTATTACGTTTTATCCGATTGTGTCAATTATCGTCTAAGCGTTCGTTGTGTTTGCTTTTTGTTTCAGTTTCCTAGATAAAGTAGCCATCGTCAAGCAAACCGATTACACGCCCACGGAACAGGTAAGCGTCTTACTTTTCATCGTACCTGTAAAAAAAAAAACTTTTTTTTTTTTTTCAAATCACTTGAGTCACGTCTTTTTTTTTCAGGACATACTTCGGTGTCGTGTTTTAACTTCCGGTATCTTCGAAACACGATTTCAAGTTGACAAAGTTAACTTTCAGTAAGTTTGTGTAGGATTGCCTAGCAATTTTTACTCTTTGAATCTTGTGTTTCTAAAAAAAAATGATGCTCTGATTCTTTGAAACAGCATGTTCGACGTGGGAGGACAGAGAGACGAGAGAAGAAAATGGATACAGTGCTTCAACGATGTAACGGCGATTATCTTCGTAACGGCGTGCAGTAGTTACAACATGGTGCTTCGGGAGGACCCCACGAAACTCAGACTCCGGGAGAGTCTCGACTTGTTTAAAAGCATTTGGAACAATCGGTATTGCTTACTGTTCTGTATTTAATAATTTTTTTTTTTTTTTTTTTTTAATTTTTTTTTTTTTTTTTTTTTTGTTCAAATTTTCTCTGTCCTATTTTAGTATGCTAAGCGATTGTTGAACTTNTTATCTTCGTAACGGCGTGCAGTAGTTACAACATGGTGCTTCGGGAGGACCCCACGAAACTCAGACTCCGGGAGAGTCTCGACTTGTTTAAAAGCATTTGGAACAATCGGTATTGCTTACTGTTCTGTATTTAATAATTTTTTTTTTTTTTTTTTTTTTTGTTCAAATTTTCTCTGTCCTATTTTAGTATGCTAAGCGATTGTTGAACTTGGAATTTTCAGATGGCTCCGCACAATATCAGTAATATTGTTCCTCAACAAGCAAGATTTGCTTGCGGAAAAGGTGAAGGCAGGCAAGCACAAATTAGAAGACTACTTTCCCGAATTCTCCAGGTACCAAACGCCAGCCGAGCCCGGGGTGGTGGCAGATCCTTCCGAAGCACCCGATGTCATTCGGGCAAAGTACTTCATTAGAGATGAATTTCTTGTAAGAACCTCTTTGACATTTACGCAACTCGATGACGCTTTTTAAAATTTTTTTTTTTCCTTCTTGCCAAACTTACCAACTGCTGTAATTTTATTTATTTATTTTTTTGTTTTTCTTTAGCGTATAAGCACGGCGAGCGGGGATGGCAAACACTATTGCTACCCGCACTTTACGTGCGCCGTCGACACGGAAAATATCAAGCGAGTGTTCAATGATTGTCGGGACATAATTCAGCGAATGCATTTGCGCCAGTACGAGCTCTTATGACTTGGTTTATGCTTGGCTCGCAGCTCGACTTTCGCCAATGCTAGCACAGCTCGCGGTGAATCGCGCCATGCCGAAGCCGCCGCCGCCGATGCTGTAGCTGCGGCTCGAGGCTCCTCACCTCCGGTCTTCAGGGAGTTTGGATCAACTAGAGTGCTCCGTCGAATGGGATAGTGATTCCTATATAGGAGTACATGAAAAATAAATATAGTAGCGGCAGCGGCAACAGCAACAGCAGCAGTTGAATGCAGTTGAATGATAAGGAGATGAAAAGGGAGGAACGCAATTTTTTGAAGCAAACGTACTTTAACCCTATGTATTAGCCATGCTCACGTACACCTAATAAACCAACTCACATGAGCGATGCGCTAACGCAGAGACACTTTGAATTCAGCAAGAGTAAACACAAAACAAGCCACACTCTCGTAGCTTCTCCATCAGGTTGACAAATTTTGGCAAAGAGTAGAAGATAAATTGAATTTCGTGTGAGACAGCCAGATGGAACAAGTTTATAAAGAGTAATTTGCAGCCACAAGGGCAAGATCATACCAATATATTTTTTTTTTTTATTATTATTATTATCATTAAGAATCGTTATTCGTCGAGAAAAAAAACTTTTGCATTATGTCATGATTCAGAGAAATGCTGTCTGAGCACTTGAGAGTAATACTAGAGATTCGTGAATAAAAAAAATTATATGAAGTGTCGTACACCGGTCCCAATTAATCAAAAACTTTTCCTCCTTTTGATCCTAATACTCCTCTTTGGTTACCAAAAGCCTGGCTTGTCATCACTGTCTGGCTTTAAATATTTTTTTTTTATTGATAACGCATGGAACTTTTGTACAATGAGTACGTACGTGCTCGCATACGTACTTGTGTGCTTCTTCATTCCCTGAGATTGAGACATTATTAATACCTTATTCCATCACCTTACCTTCCCTCATTATATCTATTACTTGAATTTTTTAAATCTATTGGTTTGAACTACTATTGTTACGTTAATATTACTATTGTTTTTGTTTATTAGTTTCGTTTCTTTATTTAATTTTGTTAGACATGCAAATGAAAACAATTTTCTATCATTATGCCTACCAACCAGTCAGCCAGCCTCTGAGTTGAACTAAAACCATAAAATTGCTTCTCCTTTGCACTTGTTTTCCTCTCGACAGCTTTTAACCCCATCCCTTTTTTAATAACAGAGCAGCGCCACGCGTACAATTTTTGTACAGTTGTGTAATCATTTGTCCGCGTACATGTATTTGAATCTCTTGAGTTTAAATTTATTATTACAAACACTTTGACCCTGTTTGTAAAAATTTCAGCTACGTCTTTTTATGAGAAGAGTATTTTGTGAGATTTTACAGTATTTTGAAGAGCGTTTTAATTGTATAACAAGTACATATATGTATCTAGCGCGTGCGCCCGTCTTGATTCTGTTGCATTACAAGCATTTTTGTCGAATCCATCCAGTGCTATATATTTTATAAATTTAATTTCGTTGAACAATTTGAATCGATAAGAAACGGTATCGATAATCAGAACTTATCAATAGTTGTATTGTTAATATTATTAATACTATTATTATTACAAAAGTAGTAAACTTTATTAACCAACTACATTAACCAAAAGAGTCAATACGAGATAATTTTAATGATTCATATGTAAAATTATATAGCGACTGTGACAATCGATTGTATTATGTGTATGAGATATAACAGAGATATATTAGTTGTTTTAAACCTATTATTATTACAAAAGTAGTAAACTTTATTAACCAACTACATTAACCAAAAGAGTCAATACGAGATAATTTTAATGATTCATATGTAAAATTATATAGCGACTGTGACAATCGATTGTATTATGTGTATGAGATATAACAGAGATATATTAGTTGTTTTAAACTTATTATTATGATTGCAAAAAAATTTCTTATAATTATTGTTAATATTATTATTATTTACATTATTACTATTATTATTATTATTACTACTATCATTATTATTGTAATGATGCGAATGCTCAATATATTTATTTTATTACAAAAACTTTGCAACAACCATTACATTAGATTATGTGTTGTGTCTTTTTTATTTTTTATTAACCAAGTTATTACACTTTCAAACTACCAAAAAGTTACCTGTCTGTTACACCTACCAAAATGAGTATAAAATACTCAAATTATTTATTGATTTAATATTTCTACACATTTCTATGATAGCTGAAAACTGTAGACTTAAATAAAAAAGTAAAAGCTGATTTATTGTGTCAAAATATGTACAATTTTATTGATAGTCTCTAACATAACGTCAATGAAATTTTTTAACTGTGTCGATATCGTTTTTTATCAAACTTTTAACATTTGTTAGAACTAAAAAAATATTCAGCATTGAGTAGATTGGTTTTATCAAGCTTATCCAAAGAAGAATCAAAATGAGTGTATACGTGTTAGCATCAACAATCAATGGCTTGTTGAAATGAAATGCTTTTTAATTTAATCGACTCAAAGAGATGATAATATGGTTTTTGTTACGATTTTTCAAAATACACATTGAAGAAATATTAGTAGTATGAATAATCATTTATTACTAAGTGTCAAGTAAAAAATTCAGTTAAATAAAATTGAATTTATGGTAGATTTCTAATCTCATAAAATAAAGTGAAGCGTGTCTTAATGTTGACATTTGAATTGCGTGGAAAAGAATCAAATGTCAATCATTGACACGCTCGATGCATCTGAAACTTTAACTATTACGTAAATTGCTCTTCTTTTTATTATTGGATAAGAAAAGTATATAAATGTGCAGCAAGACTGTTTTAAATGTTTAGAAAATTTCTCAAAAAATATAGAATGAAATCACATAAACGTCGCGCAATTTTTATTTATTTCTTAAAAATAATTTTCATACATGTAACACACTGCTTATCTATACTTGAAGATGATTTTTATTTTTAATACTGCGTTTAACTCTTAGTGTCAAATATTTATATGATAAAAAGAAAATAATTATAAACTGAGAGTGAACTGGAAAATGAAGTAAAGGACAAATCTTTATAAATAAATAACGATTAAATAGAAGAAATATTATTAATTATTTCATGGATTTTATTTGTTATTGCGTGTTTAGATGAAAAAAAAAAAAAAGAAAGAAAACGTATCTTAAACTATCATGTTTATAGCTGACGTATCGCGAATCGGCAGAAATCAAACAAAAAATGCGAAACTGTGAAACTCGAAATAAAATATAGGTATGTCAAATTGCTTATATAGATAATAAAAAAAATATGTATGTGTATGTATATACATACAAGTACCTATTATGTACGTATATACACATATCAAGATGATTAAAATTGAGTAACTCAGATGATATGAAAATAAAAATACAAATGAGAGGAGTGATGAGAAAGCACTGGCTGTTGTCATCGTTGTCATACTACCGTCGTTTTAACATAATATATATGTTTCGCGCGATGTATATGTATGTAGTTACATACGTGCACGAATATAAATTACGTATACGGTGAACATAAGAAACTCGAAAAGTTAAATTTTTCGAGTTCAAAACCGAAATATACACTTATAGAGAAAGTGAGCAAAAGAAAATTTTTTTATCGGTGCCATTTTCATGCGTGTAAGTAACGCGACAAGAGAAACGTGTATACAAACAAAGAAAATCACATTATATGAATAATAAAAAAAAAAAAAATGAATACTATAAGAGTAATCAGTGAAAAATAATCGCGTTTCTAATTTCAATAAAATAAAAGCAGCAAAGAATTAGTCAAACAATAAAAATGCAAGAGAGAAGCAAATTTGTGAAACAAAACAAAAATGTTTCAATCTCATTCTGTGATGATTTTGAGGGAAAAACAAATACCAGGAAAACGCTTTGAAGATTAGTTTCATCCAAATGATGGTTGTTTAGAGCTTAAATAATCCATTAAATTTTTCTTTAAAAAAAAAAATATATATATATATTTTCATGTACCGCTACGCACATGTATTTATATTAATATCATAATACCTTATTTTCAAGATTTTTAATATTTTCTTTTCGGTATTGAAATATGATGTTCAGATGTTTTTCATGTATAACAACTTGGAACATGAAAATGTGATTGCGTTAAGGGGGTAAATTGTATTATTGATTGTATACGGTACTTAGGCGCGTGTAATGGTTTTAAATCGATCACCTGAGAAAATAAAGGGTAAATTTTTAGAAATCGACCAAAATTTGGACATTCACGAACAAAAAGAAACTTTGTTGCTTGTATTAAATTATCGCATTCGATGATGCAGTTAAATTTCATAGCCCATAATTTGTAAATAAAAGATGACGTATGTACCGTATATAGCTACAAAGAAGAAAAAGGAATTTAAAACGCCAATTTTGCACATTTCATTGATTGGCTCAATTATTATTGCTTCGATTTATACTTGCTTACTAATTGTTTACTTTAAAATAATTTAAACCTAATAAAGCTCTACTTTTTGTTATTGACTGGAAAAACTTAACTTTAGAAGACACGTACATGTCGGATCTGTAGATGCGCGATTTTGGACATGAGTTTGTTTATTTAACAACAATACGACAGATTGTTTCTATAAAAACAAGTCTAACTGGAGTGTTCGTGTGTGAATGAGAAAAAAAAGGAAAGTCAATACAAATAAATATACTGAGTAAATCGTTTGTAAAGCGCTTTCTGATACCAAACAGAGAAGGAAAGTTTTCTGGAGCAAGCAAGTATTGCGTGGGTTCATATGGAATCAGTATTCCTTGTTTTTAAATTCTAAACCACTGCAGTATTTTTTTGTCTGAATTTTTCACCTCTCCGTTGAAACCATAAATACGTTTATGACTGCGTCAACATCCATTTTCCTTCCTTTCTTCCTTTTCTTTCAGCCGAATAAAATAAGTGCATCCGAATGTTGATTCGAAAGTTGGTGCGCGCATATTTATGTTGTGTACACTAACGATATAAATGCTCTCAGTGATTGAAGAACGAAAATTCCTTGAATAAAAAAAAACAATATCATCATTTATACACGGAATTGTCGAAATTAATATTTTTTTATTTTTCCTTTGACGTATACTTCAAATTGTGTGTGCATAAATTACACACGAACTCATCTTTAAGCGTATTTTTGACCTGGATTTATTTATCATTAATTTATGATTGCTTACTTTTTTTAATACCGAAAGAGGAATTGCCTCTTTCCTTAATACAAGTTAAAATTTTTTTTTAAACCCACCAATATTTTTATTTTAAAAGTATATAGTTCGTGAATGTATGAAAAAATTGTTCATAATGAACACTTTACATCAATATTATTGAAAAATTTATTCAAAAATTTAAAGTACAGAAAAATCAGTGTTTTCAATTATAAGCTTATATTAGTCTTTAATTATTCAGTTAATATTCGAAACATACATTAATGGACAGTTTGATGCCTACGCAAATATATAAGTTGTGCCTGTGACTCAAGATTTGTCAAATCTGCAACCACTGGACTCATTTCTTGCACGTGATCCTCGTAAGTTGAACCTTTAATAAGGAAAAAAAAAAAAAAAAATTATTCGTTTTTGATTACTTGGAAACCAGAATAAAATTACTTTTAGCAAATACGTACCCATGCCAATACGTTTTTCACCATAAACGACTTTTCCATCAAAATCATTCATTGGTACTTTAATATCTTTTTCTACTTGTTGTATAGTTATATTTAAGTGGTCTTCAATATCAGCAAGTAGCTATAAAAAGAGAATTAAAAGAGTATTTCAGTAAAAGAAGCCAGATTAATGTTAAAAAGATAATAATGGCTACAGTAAAAACGGTTATTCACCCTTGGTTCATTGTACCAAATACAGCAGCCTCCTTGTTCAGTGAGATTAGTATTATTACAGTTGCGACCACGGGAGGAGCACCACTCTCCGTGATACCAAACTTTTTCCGGAACACTAGATACTAAAGATATGGCCAGACCCATTCTTTCGGCTCTACCAACTCTTCCGATGCGGTGCACGTAGTTTGACTTTTCATCAGGAAGAGTCATATTAATCACTATTGAAAAGCATTCATGAATTAATTATTTGTCACTATAGATGCACAACTATTGAATATTAAGACGATAAAATAATTACTGAAAGGAAGGCCTGTAATATCAATTCCTCTTGCTGCTACGTCAGTGCAAATTAAAAATCTCACTTCCTCGCGCTTGAATTTCTCTAAATTATTCTTGCGCTCATGAGGCTTCCGATCTCCATGCAAACATACACAAGTCAATTCCCGGTCGCCAATAGATTTTAAATAACGCTCCAAATTGTCACAATCAAGTTTCGTTCGACAAAAAATTAAAGCTCGGTCCATTTTGTGCTCCTTTATAGCGCGGAGACAGTATTCACCCTTTAATATTTTAACCGCCTCGGAAAGAGCCTCTGAAAACAATCAAGGACAGGTACATAAAATCTATGAATATGATAAATAAACCACAAGAGAGAATTTCAATAATTTAAATCAACTATTCCGTACCAGCGGATTTTCCTCTAGTGTTATCTCTGGCGTGAATTCCATCAGTTTGTATATGCTTTCTTAAATTTTGCCACGAGTCATCCTTCTCAGGATCAACCATGACAACAATGTGATGTACCGTTTCTGGAACAGCATCTTCGCCTTTCAAATCGACCCATGTTGGGAAGTGCATCAAACGTTCCTAATAAAGTCATAAACATTTAAATTATTGATTTATGAAACAATTATTTCAGTAGTAAATAAGCACTTACAGCCATTCTTTTCACATCAAAGTCATGCAAAGTAGCTGAGCACACGATCATTTGTAATCTGTTTCCATCATTCGTAATTTTAGGCATTTGCTTATGTAATTTTTCAATAAGTTCCCCATAACTTTGCTTTAACAATCCATCTGCTTCATCCAGCACGAAGAATCTGGATATAAAAAAACATATGTAATAATTCAAAAAATAACGGTTTTTTTTTTTTACTCACCTGCACTGATGAAGCAGCATAGACCCATCTTGTATTAAGGCTTCAAGTCTTCCTGGAGTTCCAACAACAATATCTACTCCATGATTCAAGACAGTGATTTGGTCTTTAATACTTTGACCTCCAACTAATAGTAGTTCTCGAAGTTCTGGATCTTTGATGTATTTTTTGAACTAAAAGTAATTATAGTCAATCATTTTCAATAATTAACATTTAAGTATACCTACAAACTAAAACAATAAATTTACACAAAGGGATGAACTTACTTTTTGAATTTGATTATAAGTTTGCTCGGCAAGTTCACGAGATGGCTCGATCACAATAGCTTGAGGAGCATTGTTTACTGGTTTTTTACTAGTAGGTGCTGCTTGAGCTTGACTAGAATTAGCGGGATTGGGTTTAATACAATCCTTGGGTGCTGCAGAAACAGCAACGTATCCAGCTGGTGGTGGATACTTGAATGGTTGAGCTCCGAAATTAAAAGACATTTCTGCTTTTTTAATAACCACAGCAGGGAAAAATATTTGCGATTTTTGCTGAGGATTTAGATAAAATGCAGTGCCTAAATCTACTCCATTTTTTAAATATTTAATTTCTCCTTTGTCCAAGTCAAGTAGACAGCCAATAACATCGTTCATTCCAAAGGCTTCACCATAATTATCAAACTGTTTGGCGTTTGATTTTTTTCCAGTTCCTCCATACCCCCAACCAAACTTGTCAGTTCCTAGATCCAACGAGGCCTAAATTCAATAATAAACATACGCTATAATTTTCATATATTTCTTGACTTATCTATCAATCTTTTAATATTTTACTTGAAAAGTAGACCATCCAACTCGGCATAATCCCTCTTCTGTAACAATTGATTCAAAGTAATATTTTCCATTTCCTTGGATTCCTTTGTTAGCACGACATCCATGCCATTCTTTTACTTCTCTACTTTGACAACGAAGACCGTCTGGAGTAATAGCTAAAGCGCTTCCTCTATCAAACAAACTTAAGGACCAAGTTGAAGCTATTGCACAATGAAGTAAAAAATATTTAGAACACACGCTTACTTTTTTAAAAGTTGGGTGAAAATGAATCATATCATACGTACATGACGAAGAGGATTGGTTGATTGCTTTTGAACCTTTGCCAGACTCTATGTCTTTCAGAGTTTCCCACACAATTTGCAATATTGGAATGCAGAAAGCACCAGTTTTTCCACTGCCGGTCTCGGCAGCCATCAAAACATCACCACCACCCAAAATCAATGGAATCGCTTCAGCTTGGACATCAGTTGGAAGCCTGGCGAGTAATTATCAAGATTTTTAATACAAAGTATGATTTAAAAAAAAACAGTTTTAACCTCTATCATGCAACTTACGTCCACTCCATTTCATCAAGGGCCTTAGAAATTTCTGGCAGAACCCCCATTTCTGGATAAGTGACAATTGTTAAGAGCGATACATTATTTAATGATATGATTATTTGAATGACATTTTTACAAACTAAATGAATCAAAATATCAATAAAACGAATGAAGGTATACCTTCAAAGGCAGCCATGGTTCTGGTTTTACAGCTTCAAGGAAGAAGCGCTATTATAAAGAGAGTGCTCTCCTATCCAACCAAATATATAGAATATTAAGAGAACCAAATTAGATTATTAATCTGTTAAACAACCCTGCATCCAAGTAAACGCAAAGAGTACAATCTGATACGATCAATGAATGATACAGCTTTTCCGGTCTACTCCGAAAACCGGCTAAACAGTATCACACTGTTTTATCTTGCGGTTATTATATTGGAGAGTAGGTAGTGCAGCGTTTTGCATTACCGACGCTTAATAAAAAAGATGACAGGAAGCAGAAATCAAGAAATGCCGTATACTAAAACAAAAAACTATATCATCAAAAACTTGTTGTTTATAGAGATACTTGAGTGTACCCGCAAAAACGAATAAAATTGTTTCATTTTAGAGAATTAGTAACATTATTTAGGTACATTGTAATACGTTATCAAGGTGTGTATCTTCAATCGCTTTATAACTTGGTAGATTTTTATTTACATTAAACACAGTTGGCCGATAACCTTACCTCATAAACGAAATAAATTGATAACATAACAATTGATTACATTAAATGCAATTAAATTTATTTTACAGATGAGTCGCAAAGAGGCTTTATCGCAATTTATTCAACAAATTCACGGACGACCTGTGGTGGTCAAGCTCAACAATGGTGTGGATTATAGAGGTGATTGTTGATTTATTATCAGAATGAGTTGCTGTATTTACTTGCACGTGTTTTAAATATTTTGTAGTACTTAAGCTACAAGTAAAAGTAATTAAAATACGAATAAATTTTTAGGGGTCCTAGCTTGTTTGGATGGCTACATGAATATAGCCCTTGAACAGACCGAGGAATACGTTAATGGTCAATTGAAGAATAAGTATGGTGATGCATTCATAAGAGGGAACAATGTGCTGTACATAAGTACGCAAAAGAGGAGAACAAACTAGATTATGTTCTTATTACTTTTATAATCAATATTAAAAAGATGAGACGTTGCATATGTGGTATAAAAAATGTAAGTTTATTCTTTAGGTGTAATAATTTTTTGTACATTTTATGCTAAGTATGTAAAATAAACATCTTTTCTAGACTAATGAAAATTACACAACTGTATTTTTGTAAACTATCAATAAAATTTTACTCTAAATCGCACCCACTGTTAAAATTCTGTTGGTCTCTCTACAGCCTCAGCCAGCAGCCTTTCAAAATTTTCATTAGCAATTCTGTCTCGTAGCTCCCGATCCCTTTCTGCAGCAGCTGCAGCTTCAGCTTCAGTTTCGGCTGTATCATCTTCTTCTTCGTTTTCGACGATAATACCATTGGCGTCGTCTTCAGCGACAGGATCATAGTCATCACCAATCATTCCAAGTCTGTACTTTTTCAGGTGAGTATGGAGGTCTTTTTTGTGACCTAAGCTCTCGCACTTGGCCAAGAAATCGTCAAACTCGAGCTTGGGAAAAAGCCTGAAGGCCCAATACTCGAGTTTCTTCATGAGTCGGGAAAGATCCTCACTTTCGTGCCCCTTGCCATGGAACTCGAATCCTTGGTAAAGCTTCTCCAGCGTATGCACGCCCTTTCGACTCTTCAGCCTCTCAGTGTTTAGAACCACGAGCTTTCTGACGACACGCTTTTTCGGATCTACCTTCTGGGCCGTGGTATTGGCCTCATCGTCGTCATCCTCCGGCACTTTAACCTCTTCCATCGAAACATCTGCATCTTCATCCTGCTGCATGACCTCGTTATCGTTGTTTTCATGTTGGCGGACAATGTCATCAACACCAACATCGTCATCTTCGGCAGCAGACAGTGGGGCATCGGATTCTGACATTGTTGTGATGGTATGTATAATGTTGTACACTATAGCTTGAATGAAACACTCTGGTAGGTAAGTACCAAGTATACCTGTTACTGACTCTGTTGTTATGATATGCGATGTAAAATGTGGAATTCTTCCCGCCAATAAGTAGGTAACTATACTAAGTTGTCACGTTGTCAGCTGCCAACATGAGGTGTTTCACCCGAACAATCTTAATCTATTCAAATCCATCGTCTTCGTTGGATTCCTCGTCGTCGACGTCGTCATCACTCACCTCTTCTTGCTTTGCAGATTCTGAATTAATACGATTCAAAAAGGAAACCAGCAACTTCTTGTTCAGTCGATCAGTTTGGGTGATTTGCGTGTCTTCCTTATCTTGTGTACCTTCCCCTGTTGTTGATGGCCAGCTTCCAGGCATTTTGACTTTGTTCGCTTTGTTAAGTATAAGGTAAAATTTTTCGTTTAAGATAAGTACTTAGTTGCGAGAAATTGTTATCCTTTTAACTTGACTTTTCCGACTAACCTTACCTCGCATATTCGTCTTAATTCGTCTATTATAAAAGCAGCTACACACTACACAGGTTTTATATATATATCAACTCCATGATTCAAGACAGTGATTTGGTCTTTAATACTTTGACCTCCAACTAATAGTAGTTCTCGAAGTTCTGGATCTTTGATGTATTTTTTGAACTAAAAGTAATTATAGTCAATCATTTTCAATAATTAACATTTAAGTATACCTACAAANTAAATATCTATATATAAGTGTGTGTGTGTGTGTGTATAACACACAAGTGATGCACGTATATGGGTATGAAGAATAGATGCTGTGAGCATGTGCATGCAAGTACTAATAGTAAACTAGTAAATAAATATAAAAAAGGCTTGATAACGTTTTATTTTATTAGCATGTTGTAGTTTATTTACTTGATACCTAGGTCATGTCAGTGCTCAAAAATTAGTTTTTTCTTCGCACTCGATCAAACGATGTATTTATAATTTGTGTATCTCAGTAATTATTTTTCTGTAAGTACATCGGCCTACGTTATAACATTTTAGACCCGCAAAGCGAAAAAAAGTTACATGATATACGGCCCCTGGTTAGTGGTTACTGTACACTTACACATACAACAGAAATGTGCAACATATAGTGTATATATTATATGTATATGTATACATCTAATTTGCGAATACCTGCGACTGACCGTTAAACCTGCACTTTCTTTTCCTCTCCTCTGGCCTACTTATTTTGATGAGTGCAGGTTGATTATTGCTTACATGTTTAGTAAAAAAAAAAAAAAAAATCAAGACAACTTGAAAAAAAGTTCTTAGGGCGGCACATTCCCGATTCCGAAGTAAAAAATGCATCTGAGGATAATAAATTTCTTCTACCTTATAATGTTTTAATTAGAATTTTGGATACTAATAATGTTTAGAGAAAAAAGTATACTTGTGCGTTACTCTAGATTACAATTAAAACAAGTCTCCAAAAAAATGTTTAATCGAAAATCGGTATTGCCAAAGTAAGTGAATTAGGAGTCCCATTTAGTCAGTATAAAATAATATTCACAAGTGCGTGACAAAAATACCTAAAACATTGAAGCAAAACCAGAACATTCAAACCTGATTATTCGTTGCAAGTATACTTTTTTCAAATGAGCTACTCCCTGCAAGCGGTTCTTAGTGAACAAATCTTGCATAAATGCTCGTATAAGATTATTCGTGGTACTTGAAAGGAAATAAGCAAATCTCTCGATTAGGTTATCGGGTTATTAACACCCTTTTTAGACGATTCGACCGATTTCACAAAAAAAGCTCACACTTGGATGTTCGGATGTGTAAGTATAAGAACATACTTGGTCGCTACACATATGCATACACAGAGTTGTGGGTTGTGGGGGCTGTAAAGTCCTGTAGGACTTGAGCATATTGTACACTTAAAACTTCTGTTGGTCCCAGTTTGTCTATACTAAAAGTAGTATAGGTATAAGTATATATCGGCACTCTCTGAGTCTGGAGTTCCGGACAGACCCTATACAGACAGAGTAGGTATATAGCAGACACTGTGCCGGTTCGGCGTGGCGTGACGCCTCACGTGTGCGAGCCCTCTCCCACTTATATGCTTACTTGAGCGGCCGAGATTACAGTTACTGGCTTCCCGAATCGCTATCGCCTTTCTCGAGAGATCCTGTGTACGAGCTCACTTGGCTTGTTGCGCTCGATCTTGCTCCTTGGCTCATTCAGTTGCAAAAATTTTTAGTATCTTACTATTGCCGGTAACAAAAGGATGGCGTCATAAGGACGGCTGACATATTTCGGTAGAAAGTTTTGTATTCTGCTCTGGACACTGGACTCACGTTGAACACATATATATACTTAGGAGCCGTTTTCGTAAATACTTTGCCAAAAGTCTCGCCTTCGGCCACGTGTACTAACCAGGTAATGCGTTTTTTTTGGTTTTACTCTTAATTTGCAATTTTTTTTAATTTTCATGCCATTTTATTTGAATGGTGTTTTTTAATTTCTTTTCGATCGCTGAAACGATCGTGCATTTTTTTTGTTTTTACATTGCTATAAAGTAGATAATATGTAAACTGCACACAATAAATGGGTCATAGGAGTGCATATTACTTCCCTCTAATGCCTTATCGCATATTGTGTCTCTTACTTGTCGCTTGTTTTTTTATGCACGTTAAATTGCACCTTTCTTAAATATCATTTTACTAATATTTTCACGTAAAGTTGGCAGTGTATTTTTTTTTTCCTACGTATTATAATGTGTTTATTGTAAACCGTTGTTGCAACTACGATGTCGGTATTTCTCACATTACAAGTGCGTTCATGATACCTACTACGACTTATCAGGAAGTGAAGTGCAATTTGTAAGTATTCCTTTTCTAAGCATTTTTTTTAACGCGTACGTGTATCGGCTTCGTCAAAACAACTGATTTTATGAAATTGGCGCGTACTTAGCATCAGTATCGTGAAAGAAAATTTTATTCTTGTTGTGAGAAACCTTTGGAAATATTTTTGTCGAACGAGTCGAAAATTTTTAGTTTAGAAATCGTACGAGTTTAAATATTAGACAAATTGTATTTTTTATTCGATATTCATTGTATTGACGTGTGTTCTCCGTAAGCGGTTTTTTCCAATAAAGCATATAATCTGTAATACTTTTAACATCAATTTGCTATTTTAAACATTTAAAGAAGCATCTCACGTCAACACTTAAGCATAATTGTATTGAAAACACGGTATTTTTAACGAAGTGTTTACAACTGATGAACGTGCAAATTATCGACGAAAAATTTTATCTTGAATAATTTCAATCATTATAAAAGATTATATCTGCGAAAATGATCAACATCAAATTTTGCGCTTCCTCGTTTAAATGAAAGATTGCAACAGTACTAGGTTGTCCATTCAACCGACATAATAAATACAATACCCGTAACTTACGTGATGGAAAAAAAAAAAAAAAAAAAAGGCTACGCGCAAAAATTGTATTTGGTTTTTGCAAATCCTCCGCGTGGCGATTAAATGATTGGGTAACGATAATTTTGAATTAAAACGATAAGACGAGAATACTTGATAAATACACGCACGTTGCACGTGATTTGTGTCATAGGTGCTTTGGGTCAACTTGATTATTAATCTTCGTCACGGAATGTAAAAATATATTCCTCGCTCGAAAAAAAAAAAAAAAACTAAGTTTTTACATTTAAGCTTTTAGCAACGACTAAGCATTGACGTCCAAGCAACTTAATCTTTGTATTATCACCACTGCTCGGATATTTGCAATATTTTTTATCGTGCAAATTTAAAAAAAAAAAAAAAAAAAAAAAGAAGCACATATAATAAACACGATAATCTCTATACGTGTGTGCACTAATGAGCTATACGTTTCAATTATCTTTTAAATGTATGTCATCAATCACCCTTTTTTTTATATTGCATAGTTGTGCACAAAACTTTGGTATTTAAATTTCTCTTTATATCGGGATCTCAAGAGCACCATTTGCATCACAAGTGCGTATTTGTAATTGAATTTCCAATTCTAAAACACGCATATAATAGGAGTAGATACTCAACTAGTTTCATACTGTGTTGTACTCATTATGCGCTCGTTTACAAAAAAAAAACAGTTAAAAAAAATAATCCATCATACAATGACAAAAAATAGATACATCGACGTTACGTATTTGCAATAATAGTTCGCCCGACTCATCGTGAGGTTTCGAAGCTGCGCTGTTTACGCGGACAGTTTTGAAAAATGATCGTTTTCCACTACACGAGTGTCGTTGATGAAAGAACTCGTCACAAAAAACTATGAGCTCTATTTTATCCTTATGCGTGTGTGTCGCTTGGTTACTTACGTAATAAAAAAAAAAAAAAAAAAAAAAAACAGTTCAAGTCGAGCCAGTAGTCAAAATTTTGAATGTCATTCCGTATAAGGTACCTATAAACTTACGCACAAGGCGCTCCGTGCCATTTGATGGGAAATTACAGCGCTCGGTTCACCGCAAGTAATGCCTCATCGTTTCCGTCTTTTCCAAACGACTCCGTTCAACAACGACAATGAATGATAAAACATGGAAAATTTAACTTTTTTTTTTTTTTTTTTCCCCTCCCAACCGGAGACCGGTGCTTCCCGCTGCACGCATATACTACCTGTGTTACAAATTTTCCAGGCGAAAGAGCCTTGATTGCTCTAGCTGCTATGGGGTTATCGAATGCGCTCGCCCTGGATAGGTATCGTTTGCCAAGCCGTATATTTATTATCTCTGACGGCAGAAGCAAGAGGTGTCATCGTGTAGTTTCGGTCTTTGCAGCTAAGGAAAAAAAAAATAAAAAAAAAAAAAAAAAGTGGAAGCACCATGAGTATAGGTATAAACACGTAGTGCAACGTTGTACAATATTGTCCACCTGCTCAATGAAAAATCAAACAAACTTATAAGCGCGATCCACTTGTCGCGTGTGAGAAAGTCAAGTCTCGAGTTGAATGTATATACTTATACTCATGCGATAGAGCTCGTCTGGCGCATCGTAATTGTAAATGAGCTTGTAAATCGGTATAGCTTTTTTTTTTTTTTTTTTTTTTCTATTTCTTACGAATGTCAAGTCTCGCACAACTGAGTGGCAGCTCTCTTAGTACTATTGTAACTCGGATTTTTCGAAATTACGAGTCCGTTCGTTGTGGGTGACCTTGGGTCCTTAGACCGGGACGCCGACATGTGCCATTTCCAAACGAGTTTTGAAAATTACTACTTAGTCGTGTAGAAGTAGATGATAATAGACACATGCTACAGAGTGGCGGGTTTTGATGCTGTTTAAAGTTGTTTTTTTTTTTTTTTCCGGCAAAACAATAACGATGATTCACCGTAAGTATGTACACGATGGCTCGGATCGGACTATTTTTCTGGGCCTTGAAGTTCCCTCTTTTTCTTCACAGCTGCTGCCTCGTTAATCATAGATAGGTGATGTAATGAAACACATGTATGTTATCTCATTCGCAAAATTGAATGTTAATGTTATACACGGAGCATTTTAAAAGTGATGCTTCCGGAAAACTAAGAGTATCGTACGGGATGAATTAAGGTCACCGAGGCGAGCAAAAAATCGATCCAACGCGTGCATGCGCTTTTCGAGACGTTTTCCATTTTTAATCGGCAAATGAGTTTCAAAACAGTACTTTTTTTCCTCGGCTTTCCATTGCCGAGCTTGATCTCCTGAAACAGCCGCAATACGTGTGAATAAAAAAAAAAAAAAAAAAAAAAAAAACAGCACAACACGATAGAGCGCAGACGCGAGGCCAGAGAGAGGGAGGGGGAGTCTCCCCTTCGAAATTGGCGCTAAAAGGTGGCCTGATGTGCGCACCGTTATTGATCACAGGAGCCGCGAAAGAGCCGAGAGGGGTTGAGGGCTACAGTCTCGCAGGGCCGCATAGCAGTCATCGGCTGGACTTTTACTTACCCCTTTTACATACATCGCGCGTATAACATACCTTTTGCGCGTTCCAGTACACCTTGGACTGTTTTCAGACGGTTGTGCTCTCGTACCGAAAAAAAAAAAAAAATCAGTCCTCTGACTCGTCTACGTTTGCACTTTCACCCTCGAGGATGTATCGCCTCGGAGAAGGTGCTACAGACGCGTTTGGCGCGGGGGGAGGCGAACCCGTGGCTATGAGTATCGGCGAGCGGCGTTTCACGTGCCGTTGTATTTAATACTCGAAACGGTAATCGCGTATACCTTTGATTTCTCGTTGGTCGATATGTTGGGCTACATCTTCAAGGTCCTCCAGGGTATCTGGAACTATGGCCACCTCGACGAGCTGGCCGACCAAGGTACCCACTTATTAAATCAACCCATCAGCTCGGCCACTGCCTACATAAATATACATATATAGATACACCTTAAACGCCGCGTTTGGTTTCTTATGCCGCTGTTCACGGCCCATCTATTCACTCGCACAGCTATTTTATCTGTTGCTTGTGTATAAACTATATTCTGGAAATTCTTTCTTTTTAGCATATCCACGCACTCGTTGATCATTATATCGTTGCGACATAATCCCTCAAGCTAATATAAATATTGTAAAAGCGCGCACACGCACACACACACACACACACACCTATCAACCACTTTTCATAGTAGGGTTCATCATGTGCAAGTGTAATTATCACGTTTGCACCGTCACATTCAAAGTTTCAATAGTAATCCTACATAGCTGTGTGTATACAATTATTTCCGAGGGACTTATCGATTGTCTCTCCTGACAGCGCGGCTTTGACTATTGCTTGTTCCTTTTATTTTTTATTTTTTTACATTTATACGTCCACAGAGATACCTACTTATTAATTACAGCCTTTTAGTCAGTTTTTATCATTTTCGAGTAGCGTCATTATTGTGCAAAAACTATACTTACTGTACTCGAGTAACAATCAGGACGAAAATCGGTATAGGAACAAAAAATTTGTAAATGGTCATGAGAGAAAAAAATCCATGGTATAAATGATGATTTGAGGAATAAAAAACATATTACATCGCACTTATTCGCAAATCAATGATATATTTTTTTCCACACTTGATACATACACCTAACTCGTATAATGTAATTGCAGGCACACATTTGTACATATTAATATTGATGATTAACGTCCTTGCGACGTAATAATATATATGTTTCTCAATTGCTTGCAGATATGGCTGCAGTTCAGTCTCTTTTTACGAACGGGATCGTCAATGGGTACGGAAAAAACGACAAGGTGCGTAAGGCGAAAATTTGTACCACATATCGGATGAAAAATTGAATCTCGCGCAATCTTAAAAGCCGATTTTTGCGATTTTCAGGTGTCGATTGCCACCAGCGTCGCTCGTTATGCAACTTCAAACGAAACGGGTTTGGAAGGTATAATAAAAAAAAGCAATCCTTGAGCTGCGATAGTTTTTTTTTTTTTCCTTATTTTTATGACTCTTATAATTGCACAGTCACTCCTGATGTGCTGTACATGGATTTCGATCGTATAATGTAATACAATACCAACAACCAATGCGTATTTTCAGGTCCCGATCAAGTATTGGTCGCAAACGAGGACACGGTGTGGGACGCGGACGGCCGAGTCCGCATAAAAATCGATCAGTGTCAAAACGACGAGTTCAAGCCCATATCGATTCCCGGGCTGCTCATGCAGACGGCCAAAAAGTATCCGAACTGCCCGGCTTTGATATCCAGGCCGGGAGTCGATGGTAGCCGCACTACGATCACTTACAAGTTCGTTTAATTTGCATCATGAAAATAAAAATAAAAAATAAAAAATAAACAGCAACTGACGACTGTTAATGGAATATGCGTTGCGTATAATGTTTGATGACCGTTTACAGAGAATACGAGAGACAAGTGAGAACGGTGGCCAAAGCCTTCCTGCACTTGGGTCTGGAGAGACACCACAGCGTCTGTATTCTCGGATTCAATACTCCGGAATGGTTCATCTCGGACATAGCAGCGATTTACGCTGGGTAACGACTTATATACACATACTCGTCATGTTTCATTGCATCTATAGCTGTGACAAAAATTTAATTTTTTTTTTTTTCTCTTTTTTTCTACTACTTTGCAGTGGCTTCGCGGCTGGCATTTACACAACAAATTCGCCAGAGGCGTGCCAGTACTGCGCCGAGAGCAGTCGAGCCAATATAATCGTTGTCGAGGACGCGAAGCAGCTCGAAAAGATATTACAAGTTAAAAAGAGTTTGCCAAAACTAAAGGCGATCATCCAGTACGATGGAATTCCCTCGGCGAAGGATGTACTTAGCGTACGTTGAGTATTTATACCTACATAGATCTATATGAGTAAAATTATCTATAACTGACATTTGAGTATCGTCTGATTGTTGACCACAGTGGAGCGAGCTGATTGAGATCGGCGAGAAACAATCCGACGACAAGCTGAACGCCGTGCTCAGGACGATAGGAATCAACGAGTGCTGTACTCTCGTTTACACGGTGAGAAATAATCGTGGGCAATTGAATAATCTCAACTAATATAAACCAAATGAGTATAAATTGTATGCTTATGGATGTATTTTTTCCTCCGTAGTCGGGCACCGTGGGAAACCCCAAGGCGGTGATGTTGAGCCACGACAACTTACTGACTGACGCGAAGGCGGTGCAAGTAGCCGCTGGATTCGGGCGCGAGTCGACCCATGAGATGATAGTGAGCTTTCTGCCGTTGTCGCACGTCGCGGCTCAAGTCGTGGATATTTTTACGTGCATGCTGATGGCGGGCACGGTTTACTTCGCCGACAAGAACGCGTTGCGGGGCAGTTTGCTTGATACGCTGCTAGCTGCCCGGCCGACCGCTTTTCTGGGCGTGCCCCGCGTCTGGGAAAAAATTTACGAGAAGATGCAGGTAGTGGCGAGGAACAATGGGCCTATCAAACGCTGGATCGCCAGTTGGGCCAAGGCGCAAGGTCTTCGGCATCACATGAGCCGCGAAACGCGTCCCTCCTGGGGTTTCCTGCTCGCCAAGTGGCTCGTTTTCAACAAGGTCAAAGCGGCCCTCGGCCTCGAACGCTGCCACGTAAATATTACACAAAATGTTATTTCAATTACTTTTCAACGAATCACCATACATAATAATACATACGGCAAATATTTTAAAACTAGCTGTTTGCTACTGCTGCCGCACCGCTCAGCGATGATATCAAGAAATACTTTATGAGCCTTGACATAATCATCATCGACGCCTACGGTATGAGCGAGTGTGCAGGAGCTCACACGCTCTGCACCCAAGCCGATTTTCGGTTGGGCAGCGTTGGCCGCACTCTGCCAGGCTTCTTCACGAAGCTTGACGCGATCGATGCTACGGGTGAGGGTGAGGTTTGCATGGGCGGCCGGCACGTGTTTATGGGCTACCTCCACGACCCAGAAAAGACGCGCGAGGCCAAAGACGAAAATGGCTGGCTGCACAGTGGTGATCTCGGCAAGATCGACGCCGAAGGCTTCCTCTATGTAACCGGACGAATGAAAGAATTAATCATCACGGCCGGTGGAGAGAATATACCACCTGTACGTATCGAGCAGCTTCTTGTCAAGGAGTGCCCGGGTCTCAGCAACGCCATGCTCATCGGTGATCGAAAAAAGTACTGCACCATTCTCGTCACGCTAAAGGTTACTAAATTTTTCTTTCGCTTTACTTGTCAACAGTCATGTAAACTCGTAAAAACTACCTCACTTTTTTTGCAGACTGAAATAAACACCGAGACTGGCGAACCTATGGATCCACTTGCCTCTGATGCTCTAAAGTGGGCCAAATCTCTAGGCAGTAAGTCACGCACTCTTCCCGAAGTCCTAAACTCACAGGATCCACTCGTAAGTCCCAGACTTTTGGATATTCCTCTTTTTTGCTGTGTAATTAAATCTTTGTTTTTTGCTTGCAGGTATACAAAGGAATTCAGGAAGCGATCGATGCAACCAATGAGAAAGCGATAAGCAACGCTCATCGGGTTCAAAAATTTAGAATCTTGCCTCACGATTTTTCGGTGCCGACAGGTGAGCTGGGGCCAACGCTGAAGCTCAGGAGGAATTTTGTTTTGAAAAAGTATGCCAATTTGATAGACGATATGTATAAAGAGTAGTTACAGCTACTTGATTGCTTCTACAGACTAATTAGAAAGAGTCAAGTCTTTATTACGACAACGACTCTGCAATACGTGCCTGGTTCTCGTACAAGTGAACAGTCAATTGGTACTTAGCTCTTCAAATTCGAGGTTTACAGCGTGGATACTTATGTGTGATATTTTGTAAATCTTGCAATTTTTGTTTTCACTTCCCGTTTAGCTATACTAATGTAAGTGATACATTTGGATCCAAATTCTAGTTATTGTCTTGTCAAAAAAACATGTATTTATTTAGTAATTAATACTAATCTCTTGAAATTTCAATTGCTAAAAATGTACATTTAATACCATTTTGATATGGTTATGATGATTTTTTATCAGTTGCAGATATATTTCATTTTCTGCCTTTTATTTATGTTTTTTTGTCTCAATCTTAACAATTAGAGCATATTCATTTTTGTCGGTAAACAGTTGATTATCAAGTTATAATCAATTTATTTTGTATTAAAAACAATATCTGTAATATTTGTGCACCATTTTTTATACACTCTATGCGTGAGGTATGTAAATATTGTGAATATGAAATAAAAAGTGCCTTTTTGCAAACTTATAAATATATGCAATTAACACTAGACAAAATTTTTCTTACTCTAAAAAATAATTAGTTTTAAGCTATTCCTTAATATTCCAGAAAATATTATAAAATTAAACGACTTGTAACGACAACGCTATTTACTAACATTGTAATAATTGGGTTTCTTTAGCGGGACTTGTATGATGAATTTTTGTGATCTCTGTGGGTTGGATAATGGTATTAAGAAATATATAATTATTAATGCAACCTTAAAACCTTCAGAAAATTCTTCAATTACGATAATCATTCTAGTATAATCTCGTACACTATTGATTATTATTAATGTATTCGATTGATTAACTGAAAATAAATTGGCGTTTCATATTTTACTGTTTCATATGCAGTTATTTTTTATTTTGTTGTTACAAAGTTAATATTTTTTTTTTTTTCAACACCTGGACAAAATTCAATAAATAGTAGACTGGATATCATATGGAGTGCTTTTTTCACGCAGGATACTTGCGATGGTGTCCAAAAATAATAGTGCGCATTGGCCACTTGTACAATTATTATCTGTTGGATTGATTTTTTCGATGATTTTAAGTTAATATTTTTTTTTTTTTCAATAATAACGTATTGTATTTTTAAAACTTTGGAAACGTAATTACTTCACCCCTTCATAAAACAGAAACGTCACTCCACCATTTTATTAACTATTTTATTGTACATGTAAAGTGTTTGATGATATCTACAGGCCGATGAGGACTAAAAGGCTAAGATCTTTCTCGTTTACGGGGATATTATTGCCATTTCACGGGAATGTAGATCATGCCCTCCTTCCTGGTTCCCCAACTTTTTATGCGTGTGTGAGATATTCGCATGATTTTTTTTTTTTTTTTTACAGCCCAAATCGATGCCGCGTATGCTCCTGTGCACAGGACGGCATCGCAACCGCAAGTTGGCCCCAGTGGCCGCTCTGCAGCCAACCCTTCGGGCTCTGGAAATTCGAGCTCTAATCGACAGTAGATTTATTTTCTAGTTCCATCATCATTCACTTGAATAATGCATATAACAAGCATCAGGATTTTTTTTCCACTTTCCCTTTTTTTTTTCAAACGAAGAATCTGCAGTGCAACTTAAACGTTATTTTTACAATTTTACCAGCAAATTCTCTCAAATAAATGATACCGAACAGACTCTCCCACCTGTTTTGGTTCCACGCCTTTTAAGTATCCCAACATTTCCTAATCAAAATTTTGTGTGTATATTATGTTACACAAAGTGATGGACTATTGGCCTTTTTTCTTTTTTTTTCAATCAAAGAAGTGTATATTAAAATATACTTTTGGAGGTGACAATTTCTTTTTTTTTCTTCGGAAAAAATTATACATTTTCTCTCTTATCTAAAAGAAGACTTGAACAAATTGTAATGACCTTACATTCTTATCTCGACTATTTTTTATTTCTCTACTTTTTAATTCTTTCATATACGTACGTACACGTATAACTACAGATTATCAGTGATTATGGAAGATCACACGTCCTACTGACAAAATCCTTTTTTTCATACAATACAATGTGTGATGATAATTTTGGGATGAATCGAATAAAAATTTTTTATTACTTGCCTGAAACTTTCGTTTCCGTATACATTTAATCAGGTAAGTAAGTGCGTCAATGTAAACTGAGATATGACAAATAAAAACTCCATTTAGAAACATTGAAAGATGTAATACATATTTATATTATTACCACAGCTCGTTTTGCACATAAGTTGTGTATAAATATATGCATACAACAGAATAACAAGTTTTGCATTTATTAAAGAGCGCATATTATTAAGTAACAGAAAATAGTGAATACGAAATCTGCTGGTAATATATTTTGATAAAGTTATATAAAGTATTGTAAATCATATACAAAAATTTATTGTATTTATTCAAATTACAGTTTTTTTTTTAAAGATTATACGGTATACTTACAGTAAGTATTAAGTGTAATAAAAATGAATGCAATGTGGTATACATCACTGTCGTTTCACACAAAATCAACATCTTAAAGATTTATGAAAGATATACGAGAGGATTTTAAAGAAAAAGTGAATTTTTTAACGACTCTTGCCAAAGAATTGGGAAAAAAATTTTGAAAAAAACATCTACACCGGATTTAAGAAAGCATATATTTTTATTGTGACTTTTATATTCGAAAATATTCTTTGTAAATAAAAAGTTGATTTCAGGTAAAATTGAATTTAAAAGAACGTATTATTTTATTCTTAGACACGAATCGAATTTACATTTATTATTTATAAGAGCTAGACATGCATGTACACTTTGCGTCCTGTTTTATATTTTCTGATTAACATTTACTTTGATGATAAAATTTAGCTAACCCGTAATATTCTTGAGAACAGTGTTTTTAAATGGATTTCATTATTAAAAAAAACTTTTAGCGTCATCTAGCGGTCTTCATTTTTTCGCGAAAAGTGGCCTCTATAACTCTGAATATCAAAGCTTTAGGACCTAGAGCCATTTAATCAATTATAAACCAGCCGCAACTAATGTAGAAGACACAAAATAGAAAATTCACGTAGTCTGTGCTGTTTGCGGCATGTGCAAAATTGATCTTTTACTTGAAAATCGACCTCCAAAAGTATAGATATTCTACTTATATATGGTTTAATAAAATCGACCATGTGGCACTACGTATGGCTAGGGGAATTCAGGTATAAATAAAATAGAAACCGTTTGTTTTGCAACTTGTTGTGTGCTCGCGCTTTCGTACACTCGTACGTGTTTTTGTGCACTCATACTTGTTCTTGTGCGTGCTTATGCGTTTTTATGCAGATGTCATGACCGGGCTTCCGTATTTATAAGAATCGCACTTATTACAAACAAACAAATAATAGGAAAATGTTTTTATGTAAAATAAAACTTTATTTGTAATTTGTCTAATTGCGCGCGCCAATGAGAGAGAGAGAGAGAGAGAAAACACACATAATACACACGTGGTATTGTCGTCTGCAAGGACATAACCTAACCTTCAACTTTTTTCGTCTGCTTGCGGTGAACTGCCCGAGCACCCGAGCAGTCAAGCAATGACAACAATAATATTATAAATTATTTCCGAACAATTTGTTTTGATTGATTTTTGTTATGAATTAATACTGCGAGTGATACATGATGAAGGCCAACTTTTTGTAGTAAAATCCAAAGTTTTAGAGATAAGCTTTAATTTGTTGGAACAAACAAAAATTGTTTTTTACGATTTTACATTGGGCTTGCAATAATTTCAACTAAAAAAAAAATAAAAAAACAATAGCTAAAAGATGTCAGAAAACGCAAAAAGATTTTTGATACGACTATCTTACATTGGCACCAATTACCGGGGGTCTCAGAAACACGTGAATAACACTATAATCGATGTCGACTCCATCCAAGGTGCGGTTGAAAGTGCTTTCTTCAAAATCCTCCCGAAGCTCACCAAGCCACCGAATATTGTTTTTGCTGGCAGGACAGATGCAGGAGTACACGCGCTAACTTCTGTGGCACACGTCGACCTCGAATGCAACGATGGCAGCACCATTGATAAGGCACACGTTATCCGATTCATGAACAGATACCTGATCAACTGTAATCATGAAATCAGGATTCACGAGTTCTACCAGGTCAGCGAAAAGTTTCACGCAAGATTTTCAGCCACGAACAGAGTGTACATGTACAGGTTTTTGGTATCTAAAGAGCCGGATTTCCATCAGGTATCCATTCCAGAGATTAACCGGACTACACATCTGCACTGCGTTAATTTTGATCCTGAAAAGTTTAAAAGGGGATTAAAGCTATTTACAGGGGTTTGGGATTTTACGACTTTTAGTGGCAAAAGTGTTGAAAAGTATCGTCGTGACGAATATTATTTCAAGAGTCACGTTAAAAAAATGGATTGTTGGATGGAAGAGGCTCAGCCTCTGATGTTACCAGACAGATTGTCGGACAAGTTTAGTTATTACCATGTTTATTTCTCGTCCAAAGGGTTCTTGTATAATCAGATTCGTAGAATAATGGGGGCTCTGTTTTCACTGGCTGTTGGGAGAGTGACTGAGGACGATATTCTGAATATGCTCCAGGTACCCAATCGTGCAAGTTATCGTTGCAATTCTGCTATGCCTCACGGACTTTATCTCAAACATATTGAGTACAATAAAGATGACATCAAAGAGATTTTTGAATAATATGCAAATAAATGAAAAATGGATAAATGTAAATAATATGTAAATAAACTGTAGGTATGATCATGCAATGCTTTCATTGTTTTTATTATTCTCTTAAATAAAACTCTGATTTTTTATTGGATCATTTTTTAAAATTATTATGCAAATTTATCTTGCATTTAATTACTAAGTCATTTGAATAACGAAATTTTACCCATTTTTTTACAAATGTTTATTGGTTTCAGCAAATTCCAATTTTAAACTGTATGTCGGGCCATTTCACGCAGGACATAAGTTTCTTGCTTTCTAAAAATACATGCTTACATTGGATCGTTTCATATACACGATTTTGTCTCTTTAATTGTAATATGCGCAGCCTTTCTTCATATTTTTTTTTACTATTACCATGTACAAACGTACTTTATGCGAGTATAGAGTAATTTTTTTTCCAATGAATGATTTTATGGTGTGCACTACAAACTTGAAAATTTGATGATTCATTATTTCATTAAAAATTATTATTCTTTATATGATAGTAAAAATACCCAACTCGAGTTTTTTTTTTTTTTTTTTTTTTTTTTTTTTTTTTTTTTTTTTTTTTTTTT